AGTGTTAGAGATTAAACTAGTGAGGAAAAATGTGTCTCCCTCAGAAATACGTTAGCAGTGGGAAAATGTCTTCTATATGAACCACAGATGTGATTTTTCAAGATCCGTGAAGGAGGGATGGCTTGGGTTTTTTTTGGTCAGTGTTACTGAAGAGTCATGTTAGTTTTACTCTGAGTTTCTGATTCAAGACAGACTACATGGAGAATGGTGGTTAAGTGGGTGTCGTGTAGTAACCCTGGTTTTCCACTGGTAAGATTCGAGACTTGGTGTCCTTAGAATATTCTCTGATTGCAAATCTGCTATGAGTGTGGTAAATTTATCATCAAGGACTTCAGAAAGATGTGCCATGCCTGTGGTTTGAAACAATCAAGAGAACACAACACAACACTTGTGGCAATGGGCAGCATTGAATCTCAAGCTGAACCTTTTCAGCACTCACTTGGAAATCGGTAGTGTGAGCTGATTCCTTGCTCCCTCACCTCATGGAATAACACCTTTTTTTTTTTTTTCCAATATTATTCCACTGTCTTTTTCATAGTGTATTTTCATTTACATGGGATTGAGAGGCACAAAAAAATAAAAACAAAATATACAAAGGAATGTAAGCAATATAAAAATGTCTTCTGATGAATCAGACCCCTTTCCTCAAAGTATGAAAGAAGGGTAACTGCTGATGTAATAATTAATGCTTACAGGAAAGAGAGTCATAACCAGGATGATACACCAACCCCAGAAATAAAAACATTGATGGCTGAGTGGTCTTCTGAAGAACTTGCACAAATGAAATTTGTTTCCACTCTTCACTGAAATTCATATGGGCTGTTGAATGCTATAAAACTAAATGGGTTTTTATTCAGGCTTTTGGGGGATGGCTTAAAATATAAAAGGGCCTGAAGACTGTGTGCAAAAGGAGAAACCTGAATGATTTCTGCTATTAGTTTGTCTTTTACTGGGAAATGTGAATAAGCTTAAGCTGTTAATACCAGCACATTTTTACTGCAAGAGGTAGGATTTTAAAAATATAAATTATTGAGAGATTCAAATAAAATATTTAAAGCTACTTAATGTGTTAGGTGCCCAAGTTCTCTTGATCTCAATGGAAAAGAGGCACCTAAGCTGCTTAGCTGCTTAGAAAAATCATTCTGGAATCCCATCCTCCCATGTAAACACGTAAATACACATAAAAGTCTGGCTAGAAATGCACAATGAGCAGTGGGGGACTGTACACCATGGCTGGGAATTTTTTTGTTTAATTTTACACACTAGTCATAAATTTAGGACAGTTTTAAAGACAGAAGTCTTTAGTGCCATCAGAAATGTTAAAGGATATGCGTGTCAGCTCCATAGGATTGCCAGATGTGATATAGGACCTGAAGAAAAATTATGCCTTCCTGGAACTGCAGGTTGAGAGCAGAAGAGAGAGTCCTGGTTATTTCAAATAGTACCAGATGTGAATGTTCAGGTAACAGACTCCCATGCTAAGGTGTCTAGCTTAACTTAATCCATATGGCTGTGCTCACATTTCCAGATCAGAGAACATTTCTGAGGCCCTGATTCTGTCAAGGTTTAAGAAGGAAACCTCTGACCATTAGTTGAACTGGAACTGTGGAGAACCACCACAAGAAAGACTGAGCATGGCCCAGGGCATTCACCTAAATCTCTTCACTGGCAGGACCCGAGACAGTCAGCTGAGATTGGTAGATGAGAAACATGAGAAATGTATATGCCTTGTAAAGACAGAGTGGGTTTCAAACTTAAGTTGCAAAGGTTCAATTTTGCATAATTTGGTGCATATGAAACCACCAATTGTAATAGTGGCTGATGTTGAACCATATTTAAACTGATGTTTCCTGCTTGGGTAGAAAATGGTACTCCATATCAGCAAAGCGTGGCTGCCAGTTCTCTCTTCATGTTGCTTGAAGCTGCCTTTTTTGCTTATTTCTTTGTCAGAAATGTAATCATGTGTTATAATATCCTATGGCATCCCTGTGACAAACTGCTTCTAAAATCTATGTTAATGTTTAATGTACACACAAAAAAAGTGTCTCTGTTTTCAACTTTACCCATAATTTTTAATGCTGTTTTTCAATCCTGCTTAAACTTTTTCCTCCTGAAATGAGGCAGAAATTTCACATCATACTGACTTGACCCAGTGGCAGGGGATTACTAAAATTCTTATTGCTGTAAATGAGAATTCTGACTATTGAACCAAGGAAAATATGGTCAGTTTTACAGAGGCTATTAAAGAAGTGGGAACTGCTTTGCAAAACTTCTTTTGAAAAGATTTAATGCAATTTCACACAATAGAAATCTGTTTTTTTTCTGTTAAATTCTACTGAAGTCTTTATGTTGGTCAACTGGATCCACATTAGCACAGTGAGGATAGATCTTTAGCAAAGATGAAGCTCTAGGTATTGTCCCAGTGATTACTGCCACATTACTAACTGCGGGAACACCAGTTCCAACATTTAGCTTATGGGACTGGTATGAAGGACTTTTGCATCACAAACCCAGTGCACACATGTGCGCAAAATGTGCCTGCATTCTCTGTATCAAACCTTGCTATAGCATACAATGCAACTTAATATTTCTTCTTTGTGCAGATGTAGAGTTTTTGTCTCAGTATATGATTCTTAGGAGATGTTCCTCTGTGAACAGTAAGACATGAATAAAGCTACAGCAATATTTATAGAAAATTGCAAACATTGGAAAAATTATTTGAATGTGAAAGAATGCAAAAAAGTAGTAACTATGTAGTGAAATATGTAGGCATGGCCCTGAGTAAAGAAGCGAAGGGACTAGATGCTTGGGTACTCGCAATTCCATTTGCACTGTTGTCAGAGCACAGAGGTGTTGAAGAGGTGCTCTTTGATCTATGGCAGAAGGACATGAAAACAAAATGAGAACAGGTCAAAGCAGAAAGAGAATATGGAAGGAGCAATCTCAGCAATTTTGAAATGCTTCCTATGCTGTCAAATAAGTGAGTGCCATCTCAGTTTGCTCCTGACATTTCTTACAGAGTGACCAATTAGGCCTTGATGAAACAAACCCTAGAAGTCATACTGGAGATGGCTAACTTTGGCTGACAATACAGAAAAGACTATATGCAGATTTGGTTCCTTCTGTCCTACACAGTCCTCCAACACCATGCAAGGTGCTCTGCACCCTCAGGTAACAAAAGCCCTATCTGAAGTATGTGACAGATACTTCCACATTATGCTATGAAAACATCACCTTGCTGGGCTGAAACATACTGTTTTGGACAGTCTGAGATAAAAAAAAAAACAAAACCAACAACCCCAAAGCATAATTATTATGCTCAAGGGTCACAAAGGCAGCACACGGAGCCCAGGCAGCTGCAGGACCTAATATCTTGCACTGTGAAGGTGGGCAGTTGGCCTTATTCCTTAGAAGAATGAATGCAAGCCAGTCTATATATATAGCCTAAGGGATGATATGATTCCTAGGAGCAGCTATACTGAGCAATGTATGTGTAACATATGTTGTCTATATTTGTACAGAAGAGGTGGGAAGAACCACTCAAGTCTTGATAATACTGTATATACAGCACATCTATCTCATACTTGAATCTCAACAAGTTTCATATACTCCTCAATCTGTTTTGCCTATATTATCTGGCCAATATATATGTTTATGGCATTTAAATCCCATGGGAAAAGCCTGGATCCTCATATCCTATTTCCCAATTAAGGATTACCTTATACACTGTAAAAAGAGTTAACACCTATCCTGTTTCCTTCAGAATGAAAAAAACCTAACTCTAACTAGTAACCTATATTTGGAGATGGCTTCAGAATTATAGATAACATATGGATATAATCATAGAATCATAGAACTGTTTAAGTTGGAAAAGACCTTTAAGGTCATCAAATCCATCCTGATACATGTTTTCGTTCTAGTCTGAATATATGCACTTAACATATAAGCTTAAAGTCATCTCCTTCTCTATGGCATTTCTTACACAATGACTTAGGTAGCCTGTTGCTCATGTGCACATGGCACATGTTTTTAAGTACCATACTGTTTCTTTCCATATGCTGAATAAGCAATAAGACTGAGGGAAGTTACAACTGCAATGCTGATGTTGTAGTCCATTTGTGATTTTAGCCTTTAAGTTTGCTATGAAACTATTTTGAATAACGTGAGGCTCATAAATTTTAGATTGCAAAAGTAGATTAGATGATAGGCTTAGTCTCCATTTTTGTGGCATATCTGAGTTTGAGAAAACAAAATAAAAATTGTGCTGAGAAGTGTTAGATGAAGAACAGCATTCACCCTGTAGACTTCTGAAAGCTGAGAGAGGAAGCTCATGGAAGTGCATCCTTGCTTCTCTTCACCTGAGCAGTGACTGCTGGCAACTGTCAGAGGCAAAATATGTGGGTAGTATGTCTGAAGTAAAGCAGCCATTTTAAATGTTCCTAATAGACTTGTGGAACTGTAAGACTGGGAAGTGTCAAAAAAATGTCGTAGGTAGTTGTTTATGGAAGAGAAGATGGTAGAGAGTGCTAATGTAAGAAGTACAGTTTTCATGTTTTCAGTCTGAATATTCTCCTTGGCCCTCTTTAGTGGATGAGGTTGGGTTTAGCTAGTCAGCAGAATAAAGAAACATAACTGATGTTAGATAACAATTCTAAGCAAAGCTTCTGCTGAATCTCATCTGCTACCTAGACAGTGGAAACATTTTCGGCTTCTTTTTTTGCTGAGTGTTTTCAAAGTGACCATAGTACTCATGCTGTTTGAATCTCATTTCAGCAAAAACTCAGGGATATAAAAGATAAGCTTCAATATAATTTCACACATCAAGACATGCTAAACATCAAGAACAAGAGAAGTCTGAGCTGCGTGTCTTGCTGTGTTTTACCAACTTAAAAGGTGATTCTATTCACTCAGCATAAGTCCATTGCAAGTGATTTCTGGCAGCAGAAGTGATGCAAAAACATATTACAAGAACAGGAGCAGTGGAGAATTTTAAAGAAATTTATTCAAAATTATTTCAGAACTGACTGTTTGAAATGCTCTGGAAAGTTGTTGGATTATTGCTAGGGAGACATTTTCCTGTTACAGGGGAAGTGATATCAGGTGACTGCTTTAGTATGATATACATACAACAACTAGCTACAAAGCAGTAGTAATGGTCTACACCAAGGACATAAACTGCATGTTGCAGACCTAAATGTAAGGTGCTTGAAGATGAAAGTGAACTCGAGACCTGCATGGTATTTCCATGAAACTTGTATACCTGCTCCTATGAAGGAGGTTGTCAGCTTTTTCAGTTTTATGTTTTCACAAGATCAGCATATTAAAAAAATAGGTGCCAGGAGAATAAATCATATTAAAGATATTTTCCTCCATGACTTATAACAGGATTCTGGGGAAGTTAGAAATAGTCATATTATTTTATGAGGTCATAGAGTGCTGATGCCTACAGAAAATTTAAAAAGTGAATTTGTTAATTAAACATGATTATTACTATCTTCAGAAAAGAAACATTACTTTGTGATTATTTTATTATTTACTATTTAGCAGTTCAAGAAAATTCCATTTAGCAATATGCAATTGCTAAAAAGTTATTTGCAAAAAAATGAACTAAACTGAATAAACACAAATGACACTTCTGTCTTTAACAGACAGCCTGAAGAGTGCAGAGTGAAGGAAACTTCCTATCCCCAAATTGGTTACACAGATATATTGGTAAAGTCTCAAAAGCAGATGAGAAATAAAATTGACATTGGAAAGAAACCAAAGGATGACATCATTGGCTTAATGTTTCCAATATCCAGTCTAAGTTGGAAATGGTAAAAAGAATTATAGAAACACAAAAGAAAAAGTGGTCGTAAGAAAAATAAATAAATAATTAAGAAGAAGTTTCCTGAATTTGAAATGCTTTAACTTCATATGCTGTTAGTTTTGTTTATGACTTTCTGAAATCAGAGAAAATAAAGGAAGTCTTGTGCCTGTGCCTTATTCTTCTTCATTTCGATGTTCTTATGCCTCTGTATACAGGAATTCATTATTGCTAGGTTCCACAGTTCCTTTAAAAGATTGAGCTAGACAATGCATCTACTAATTAAAAAAAAAAAATCAGTTTACAAAAATAATTAGTTTTAAATGAATACTATGCTTTTGTGTCTTTTCATGACATTCATCAAAGCTGCATATAAAAGTTTATGTTACGAACTAACTATTCTCTGTCCTGTGATTAAAGGGCACATGATGACCTCACGAACCACCCTTTAGACTTCCAGCGCTTCTGGCTTTAATATTCTGTGCTAGATTCACAGAGATCTTCTACAGATGCTAAGCGTTCAATCCTGAAGGCTCCACTTCATCATCAGGTAATTAGTATTTTCATTAACTTGGTTATTGTCAAGGAAAATGAGCCTTGATCATCTAATTTTTCCTCAATGAGTTGAATATTGTAATATATCTATAATTAATGTGTTTTATGCCACAAACGTGTAATGGAGTGGAAATCTGAGCCTGCTCCCAGCAGTCACTGTCAGTAAATGTTTGATGAATAAACAGAGACTTTCTAATGGGAAATGGTGGCGACTTTTATAAGCAGACACAATAAAGACTTTATTAACATACTTAAGAAGCATTCTGGGAAATAGAATTGAATGCATTATTACTGTAGGCTCCTTTTGTGAAAAGTAAATTTTACTGTCCCCATAACAAATGTTTGCTTGTTTGGTGTAACTTGTAGTGTCATGCTTTTATGGAGCTTCTTTCAGTGTAAATCTGTGAAGCATTTTAAATTAGCTATATATTCCTCATAGGTCCATGATCTAAAAAAGAAAAAAAAATCCCCCTGAAATTTGTATAAACTAATCACTTATACACCTGGAAAAAGAAATAAAAAGGAAAAAACTAATACCTAGCAGATATCTGAAAAGTCAAATTACAATGAAAATCTTGCCAAAATTAAAATGTATTGTAGGTGTTCAGAGAGTGAAGAGAAGCTGGGGTGGAATGGCAGCTCATTTGCAATACCACACCTGCTATAACTATAACTAAATATGTCTTTAATATGTATTAATGAACAGATCCAGATGTAATATCAACATGCTATAATAAAGAGCCATGAGTGTCTCTGAGCAAATCAGGAAGGTATTTGCTTCTAGACCTGCTCCAGAATGGAAACTGAAACTGTACTGGCTCAGTTTTCAGAGATGTGTCATATACACAGCTCATGCTGCAGTCAGTGATAGCTACAGACTGTAGAAAACACAGCCTTCAGGAAAAAAAAGCCTTTCCTTTTTAAATTCCACCCCCCCCCCTTTTTTTTTTTGGCTGACATGGTGTTTGCCTTCCCAGAGCACACTGTAGCTCTGTACCTGGGGATCAACAACTTACCTAAGCAGGAAAGACGCTTGAATAGCATTTATTGCTGTTATGCAGCTAAATGCAAGTTCTGCGCCCTCATTTGCATGCAGTTCAGAAGCATTCTGTGGCATTGATGCAATGTTATAGAGAAGGCAGGAATAAAAAGAGTAAAGAAGAAATGATAGAGACTAGGAAGCAAAAGGAAGTTTCCCCTCAAAGAAAATTAGAGGACAACTCTGAGAGTAAGCAGGCTTGCCTGTCGTTGCTGCTTCTCTCCTCATCTCTGTCATGGGACCTTCAAATACTCCCTGCTCTGAGCCACCAGCATCAACAACCAATACTTCCAGTGAGCAACTTTGATACTCAAGAGTCCCTGCCTGACTGACTAGAGAAGCACAAGCACAGGCTGGGAAAGTCTCTCATGCTACCTGCCCTGTCCTGAGCAGTCCAGAAACAGTTGGCAAGGTCAAACTTGAGAGCATGCTCTGGGTCAGGGGTTGTAGAAACTGGGGAGCTGGGCTTGTCTCACACATCTGAATGGAAACTTGTTAGCTCTACCTTGTGGAGAGGACTCTGCATGTCAAGGGTGTGATACATCTGACCTATTTTAGATGTCTACCTCAAGATTTCTGAGTCAAGCTGCAATGAATTATTTCAACATCTTTCTTTGATTTTGAAGGCAAAAGTTTTAATTATAATGCCCTATTCAAGTAGTTTTAATATTATGTTAAAATTCTACATTTTTCAGAGAAAAAATGGGATGGATCACATGTTATTATTAAAGAACTTTAATCCCATGGGGAAAGTCAGTGCATTTGCGTTTAATTTCAGCTTGGTGGAACAAGTGTCAAAATTGTCTTTGAACTATTTTTTGTGTTTTGTTTTGTTTCTTTTTTGCTGTGGTAGATAAATAAAGGGAAAATTAAGTTTTGATAAAAGTAAATCCCAAGACAGAGTTTTTTTGTAGCTTCATCCAGAATTCCGAAAAGGATTGCTTACTCTTGTGTGTTTTTACTGACCAAATGTAGTTGTCTATTACGTCTACATTTAAAGTAGCTCTTAATTTCCCAGAGCAATTTCTGAAGAGATGATACTCTTACCTACAGATTGTGATGTATCTCATCCTAATGTAAATCTCTGGAATAAGGCAGATGAATCTCTGTCTAAAAGTGTGTATTTCTCATCCTCTCTTCCTTAACTTTAAGAAGAATCTAAGGTGACTCACTCAGATATTGAAGTCTACATAACAGAAGCTTAGACTTAACCTAGATAAATCTCTCTTTAAAACAAACTGGTCAAAACATTAGGAATCTGGCTGTAGAGAATAATTTAGAGTGTCAGAGGATGAAGCTGTGAGACAGAAGCTGATTTTTTTTTTAATGATGGTGGAGGTCAGTCATGATCTTCACAGTATCACAGTATGCTGGAGATTGGAAGGGACCTCAAAAGATCATCTAGTCCAATCCCCCTGCCGGAGCAGGAACACCTAGATAATGTTACACAGGAATGTGTCCAGGTGGGTTTTGAATGTCTCCAGGGAAGGAGACTCCACAACCTCCCTGGGCAGCCTGTTCCAGTGTTCCGTCACCCTCACTGAGAAGAAGTTTCTTCTCAAGTTTAAGTGGAACCTCTTGTGATCTTGACTTATTACATACAGCACAAGAAATTTCATTGAAGATGTTCAGTAGAGACAAGACTGAAAAGAACTTATGTGAAGAATTTTAACTCTGGCTTACAAGGATTTTCCAGTGGGCAGGGTCTCCATCTCCCCTAAAAGGGATTTACTCAATTCAACTTGTGTAAAATAACGTTAAGAAAATTAAGTAATGTGACTGAGAGCTCTGTTCATTTCAGCTAAATTTAGACACCTAGACGGGGGTCCAAAATGACATGTATAGTCAACATAACTTTGTCTGCATAAAGAGGACAGTCCTCTTATGTGTTGCATTTGCCTCTGCTCTTACAATCTACAACTGGGAATGAAATTGTTGTGACCTCTGACAAGTGTAATTTAGATATAAAGCTCAAAACAGAAATCTTATATTGTCTGAAACTTGCAGGATTTAAATTTAAGTTTTTTTTTTTTTTGAGTTATGTTTAAGTTAATATCAGACTAACCATTTGTATTTTTTAAATTCACTGTCAGCTTCAATTATTGAGATGGATGAGGTGTTTTAAAACAGATGGAAAAAAGAATACCAAAATCTTAACATCAAAACACCAGTAAATCAATATATCAAATATATTTTAGTGCTTTCTGGCATCATGAAGAAAGCCCAACTAATTTAAACAGTGGTCCAATTTTCAGAATGTTGAAGGAAAGGTTTGTACTGTTCTGATGCAAGAAAACAAGCTAAGTAGAATGTTGTGTCATTACTATCTTAAAGTGAGTGTTGGGTGCAATCTGGGTTAGTTTGAAAGTATAGGTATTTTTGGCAGGGTTTTTCACTGCAATCGGGGTTGTATTTGTTTTCTCCAGTTTTGAAATGTGGCAGCATAGAATTTACCCAGAGGTTCTCCTATATAAAAGCTTATTATTTTGTATCTGAAAGGCAAAATGAGAAGAAAGTATTTTGCAAGCCAGAATTAGATATTATTACAACAGATAAAATTCAGGTTCATCCTTTTTTCCCCACTAGAACTACTCAAATAGAAGACAGCAGACCACTGAATCAGCAGCACAGCCTCGAAGCGCAGTGCTGTTCTCCGTTACGCTGCTATTGATCTAAATATCTGCACCTTTTTTTCTAGTTTCTACACTGTCGTTACTGAAACTAATATTTGACCCAGTCTTCTAACATGAGGTACATATATTTTTACAGACTTCATTGATCTTATATATTTTTTAGAATGACCTGATATTTGGTAAGATATTTATCTTTGAAAAAGATACTTCAATTTTTACAAAAATAAATTATTGAAAGTATATGTTAATGACTTTTATGAAAAATCTTAATTAGAAATAAATGAAACAAACATGGCAATGAAAAAACAAAGTAATATTCTGTTTTCTATTTCACTGAAAAAAGACAGAGAAGAAAAAGGTTGGCAAAATAATGTCTATAAAGGCCAGATATCTGTGTCCTGAGGCCATCAGGCACTTCCCTAATGGACTACAGAATGTGTGAAATAATTAATCATGCGGAGCAGGTATTACCAGGGTTAGAGATGGGGTCTTCAGCTTTTAATGGAAATGCTCTGTGATTGAGCTGGGAAAAAAGACCTTCTGTAGTTTGAAGAGAAGGGCATCTGTCATACTTAACTCATAATAGTTTAGGAGCACAATAAATACCAGGCATGGTTCAGCACTTTTTATTTTGTGGGGTATTAAAACTATATATAATAAAGGAAAAGCACAAATACATAGGGAACTGCTTTCCATGGTAGTGTTCAAAAATTTCAGTAGGAGGAATGCTTAAAAGGTTAAACTCAGGCTCTCTGGGGTCAGATTTGTTCCCTGACTAGCAATACATCTCTCTGACTAATCTTTCTGTATATACTTTTAAAAAACTATGGTGTTGTTCCTACCTGCCTGTTTGACAGATTGCTGAGATATAGTGAAAATTGATCAATTTATTAATTTCTTTGCTAAAGACCTAAACACAATCAGCATCTCTTAAAAAATAATAAAATTAATATTAACATTTAATTAACATTCAACATTTTATAGGCAAAGAACAGTATTAAGACTAAAGAACTTCAAAGAGAAACACAATTAACACAATATGCATAAGTAGTATGTAATCTGTCCCTCTGGTGGAGACACATTATGGTACAGTCTTCAATAATATGATCCACAACCTGTCTTTTCCCTCACGATACTTTCCTCATTTATTGCACAGGATAGGCAGTTCTCATTATTTCAGCAGTTCCTTTAGATTTTCTGTATCTCCACAGGTCAACAAGTGAATCTAACCCTTATTTCTTCTGTGCCTTTCTAACCCTTGTTTCTTCTTCTATTTCTATCAGTCATCTAACAGTTTGGGTGTTCAAATGGAGGTGGCTAACATTTCTTGAGAGTTTGAACATTATGGGGTATGCAGGGATGGTACTCAGTACTTCCACAGGTTGAACTGAGAAGCTTCCAAGTGGATGCTCATAAAATGAGAGTACAATCCACTGAAAATCATACCGTTTGAGAGTATTAGTCTACAAAAGAATAACTACTAGCCAATAAGCCTGAAAAAGCAAGATATATTTAACTGTGCAGGAGATTTGTTAGATGCACCATAGAAAAATACTTAAAGGTTTTCATGTGAAATATTGGATACAAGTCAAAATACACACAGTGAAAAAAAAATGAGTCCCAACTGTAACAGAAAGAATGAGTTAGTTACACACTTCCACTTGTCTTTGTACTTTCTGAGTCTGTTCAGAATCAGAAATACAAGGGTTGAAATATACCCAAAAAGGAATTTTTTTGGGTCATAGTCAATTGACTAATAGCCAAATGAATATTTAAAGAGAATCCAAACTTGTGTGATTTCCAGTTCAATATAATTACACTTTAAAGAATCTAGATTATATCAGTATTAGTAATTTTTGAGAGGTTTTATCGAAGCATTAACATCTTGATCCCACTCAGGACAAGTTCTAAATTAGCCAGTTAAGGAGAAAAGCAATTAACTGGAAAAACATGTCTACATAGTAGCAATATGTTTATGAAACAGAGGAAGAAACATTCCCATGTAGCCAAATTTAGGATCACATTGAGCATCTGGTTGCACTGGTCAGACCAAAAGAATGTATGGTAGCAGAACACAAAATTATTAACATCGCATTCCAGCTTGAGCAAGAAATTCACCCCATTCAGTGTTACCATCTGAGTAGAACTGCAGGAGTGCTAATCTTATTATACAGCAACTCACATCACTTTATGAGCAAGACTCTTGAAAATGTAGTCAAACACTTCAGCCTCAGAGGCTGCACATTTCTCAGTCCTGCTGCCTTTGGACAACCTCTGTATGGAAAGAAGGGACTGGCTGCCAAGGAGGCATCTGGAAGGTACTAGGAGCATTGCACTGGAAGGAAAGAGGAGGTGAAAAATATAAAGGATGTGTTTCTGAAGGGGATTGAACTCTAACAGTAAAAAAGGCTGGACTTCTGCCCACATGAGTTAATGGTAGTTTTGACATTCATTTCAAGAGCTGTAGTGTCAGGCCCCTGTGAATTAACAAGTGCTGGAGAATGGGAGAGAAGTAAATAGGCTGCTGATCACAGGAGTAAACCTGTTTGTGCCCAAGGGTATGATCAAGCTATGATTTGGAGTGCGTATACATATTCACACTAGCTTTAATCTAGATTGGATGGACATGACTTAGGGTGTCCAGGGTTGTGACAACATATACCTCAGCACTGGCTGCACAAGCCTGCAGAGCACCAGTACACTTTCTGAAGCAGCTACTATCCCCTGAAGTGTGTGTTGCTGCAGCTTTACTCAGATATAGCTGTATCCTCTCCAAGTATCATTCCCCAAACCACTGGAGGAATGATGTAAGTATTTGGAAGCTCTGGGATTTACATGAGGCGTGTTTCAACATCTCTAGCATATGGCTGCAGAGAAGGTAGCTGAAATTCAGATTTCATAGCATGAAGCCTGTGCCATGCTGTTCAATTTCCAATACACTGATGATGCAACTAAACAACTATGTTGTAACAAAACATGCAGGCATGAGTGTGCATGTAACTGTATTTGCTTGAACTCTTAACAAGATAGATATATAAAGAAGGGACTAAAGGTACAAACAAACACTCATGGACCTTTAAGTGCAATGGGTTAAGCTGGTAAACTGGTGTGAGGAGGAATGAGGCTGGGTGTCTGAACGTCACAGCTGTGGCCCAGTGATAGGCAGGCTGGGGCGGTGGAGAAGAATGGTCATATGATGGTAGTTGAAGTGTCAAGGGGGTACAATTTATTGAAAAGCAGATCACAAAGGAGAAAATTCTTCCTGCATATTATTAGTGCTATTGATTGATTTATATAGTGCATTTCTTAAGCAAAGCTCTTTATAGAATTACAAACTATTAAAGCTGAGTGAATAACTCACAATGAATAATTTATCCCATGAATTTAACCTTTCTTTCTGCTCATGAAATAGCCACAAAGAGATCACTATTTCCTTAATTATCCAGTGATTTTTTTTTATGAACTTTTAAAATACTATGAACTGATCACCAAGAGTGTTCTGTTAATACAAGATAACCAAGGTTTCTTTGCATCCTGGTTGTTTAGAGTCAACCAAACTTGTGGCTAACAAAAGCATGTGCGCTGTCCTATGCAAATCTGGTGGCCTGTGGTACGTTTACTGCATAGCATAGTGCTTTGCAGAGATAGCTCTGCTTTTACTGAAAGGCACAGTTTTAGGAGAGAAAGCTTGAGCTGTGTCAGCATGGAGCTCTCACCTTGCTATCCATCCCTGTCTTTGTGAAAGACTTAATTCTACTACTTGAGGATGCTAAGAAGTTGGAAGTATGGAGCTGCAGGATCTTGTGGAGATGTGGGAGACTCTCTGGAACCCCTACCCAGTGTTGTGCAGCTCAGGAGTACTTAGAGATATACGTCAATCCAGATGATTCTGCACTTGGGTGCCTTTTTTTAAATCAAAGCCTGAATTCATTGTGATTCAGACTAAAAGCACACTTTGTGTGTTTGACTTTTTTAATTTCCTGACAGGAAGAGTATGTAAAACTCTGAATTTCAAAGCTGTGCTACTCTAAAATTCCTTTTCCATGAATACTCAGGTAAGTAGCATGCAAATCCATTATTTGACATTTTTTTTGCCAAGATAGCTTAATTCCATAAATGTTGGCAGAATGTGAATATGAAAGAAGAGAGGACTGAAAACTGTGACAAAATAGCTGAAGACATGTACTCTGCACTGTGCACTTGACATAAACCAGCTATCCTTTAGAATTCTTCTACTTAATTTTTATGACATCAGTCATCCCTGAGGAAAAAGAGAACTAAGCAGTAATACAAAAAGCAGAATCACTGTTCAATTTTTTGGGGAGACGACTGTCTTCTGAAGAGGAGTGGGAACTGAGGTTTCATTAGGAAATATAAAGAGGACTAGGTAGCGGCTCATTTCAACCTATCATCTATAATGCAACCATAATTTTTGGAGGTTAGGAGTAGGTTTTAAAGTTATATGTAAATGCTCACCATCCTACACTTTAGCTCATTTCCTTTCAGGCTTTGCCACAGGACTTTGAAAAACTGTTTCACAATTTTCACGCTGCATAGATGGAGAAAAAGTGAACTTCTAACACAGTTCTGTGTTCTGTCAATGGACGGCTCTTTTTCAGTTTCAGAACAAACTGAGATTTTTCCATTACTGCTGTGTTCTAATGTAGTGGTAAACAAGATTGAGGAGTAATATATTTTGAAGCTGCTATTGAGTGTGTTTGTCAGTACTTCCAGTGTTAACACCCTGAGTATGGCAGCAGATTAATAATTCACCTGTAACAACACAGTGCAGTATTTCAATGGAGTAATTTAAAACCAGATATTAATAATATCTGTGTTGGGTTTTTTAAGGAAATTGATTTGTTATAAGGAAACGCAAAATCCTACTCTCAGATCTCTACTGAGCTTCCAAATGGAGAGGAGCCCGTCTGAGTCTTTATTTGTCTTCATTGACAATTTTTCGGACTTGAGAGGATAATTTTCCAAAAAAATGGCATCTGAGACCTGGTTTCTGTCAGCCATTTTGGCAGACTTTTTTTGGAGTGATCTCCCAGTGGTTGGATCTGTATCTCAAAGATGCAGTTCACACGCCAGATTTCTTCTGGATGGAAGAAAACCAGGGGAGCTCTTGCATTGCTCCTGGGGTTCTACATCCCACTGCCAAGCTGGAGCAGGTCAAATGTAACCACTTCACCCAGAGTGAGTATGAAGTGGATTTCAAGTTCGCAGCAAGAACTCTTTTGATCTCTAAATTCATTCCTATTTGTCCACACCAATTAATAAGATAGATATAGGCTCAGTCAAGGAAAAGGCCAATAACCTAACTTAATTTCAGTTTGAGGCAGGCTGGATGTCCAAATTGAAAATATCATGCAAACAGAGGTAAAACACTGTTCTGACTTTCTGATGAAGTTTAAACCTCTTACATTATTACCTTTTAAGAAAGTAGCTATGTTATACGATTTTCCTAAACCACATGCTATTTACAATAACGTCAGTCTCGGCAAGCTAAACAATCTCTCCACCTTCATAATATTTAAATAGAGAAGTAGATCATTCTGGATAACTGATTAGTGTGCACTTGAAATGTTTAACAAATGTTATGAACGTAAGTGTGCATCTTAAATGTATATTTATATTGTTGTGCATAGAGTAATGTGTCTTCTGGGTCCTATTGTAAACAAGCTGTCAAGCTTAACTGGGTTAGCCTGTAAAAATATCTTTCCATAAATAAATTGAAAAAAAACCCTAACAGTCAAGCAGCCTCTTCTAATGGGCTTGATTGGGAAATACAGGGAGAAAATATAGTAATACAATAATGTAATCCTGTGCAGATCTCTTCTCAAAATGTCAGTATGTGTAACATTGGGATGTAGTCAGCTTTTGGCTACTTTTCTCTGCTTGGTGATGTGGAAAATTCCATACTCAATTATGTCCAGTCACACCCAGTTTGTTACTCATCTGTTCTAGTTCACTCATGTCCTGCCAATTTAGATATGACTAAAATTATCAACAGAGAGATCAAGAGTGCATTTCCCTGCTACATGTTCAGCACTGCAGCAGCAGAACAGAAAAAACGCAGCATCGCACAGAAGTGACTTCTACCGACAGCCCAGTACCTGAGGAGGATTAGAAGTAGTACACAAGATCCAGAGATTATTCCTGGTGAAATTATAACAGTGTTAACAGAGATCAAATATAATTTATTTTGTCTCATTTTCTGAGAATGAAATCTGTTGCTGCGGCTGTTTGTCTCTCCTCTGCCACTCTCTTTGATCTACTTTGTTTTCTCATACAAATATTGTATGTAATTATGACAGTTATGCCAACCTTTAAAATAAAATCACTTTTGCTTTGTGGAGGGTTACATACTAGTGCTACCAGACTTCTCATAAACCCTGAATAAAATGCTCTGACATTCTAACAGATGAAAAAATAATTATCTAGAACTTATTTCAGAACTTGCTAATTAAGATTATGAACTGCTTCCATTAAAAATTCCAGTTTAGCTTTCATTCTTTTAAAGAATGAAATGATCTGTTTTTTAATCATCAGGATGAAAAATCTTTTTTGTTTAATTCACAAACTTTTGTTTGCTGGAAGTTGCTGGGAAGGAAGTTGGTGCAAAAGACAAGTATCTTATCTCCTTTTTCAAAAGAGATTTAAAAGTGAGTAAATAATAACAAAAATTAAAAAGGTTTTCCACTGGAGACAGCCTTCAATGAACACTAGTTAAGTCCATCACTCACTAAAACTTGAAGACTTATAATGACATATTTGGAAGATTTTTCATGTTGCTTTTAGTATATATTAGATAATGTAGAAACTGAAAAGTTTCTGTTCCTATATCTCTCTTTAGTATGAACTCATACTGAGATTTAGTTTTTCACATTCTGCTGCAATCAGCCCTGGTTGCTTCATTGCCTTCATCTTGGGTAGCCACCAATGTTAACACAAAAGGACGCAGTGTGCCACCATTATGACCCCACTGAAGGAAATATACATAAATTCGGGTGATTATAGAAAAGTGAAGAAAAATAGGGACTCAGATATTTTGGTAACATACAATGAACTCTAACAGAAAATATAAAGAGGGAGGATGAGACTGAGGTTTTCACACACACCAGTGAATTCTTAACCAACTTGAATGCTAAAAACTGTTGCTTTATTTATAAGAAAGAAGTTACTTAATGAAGTGAAATCATTCTTCTTCCAAGTTCATAGTATTATGGTTTAAAAGTTCTGTAAAGGATAGGGGGCTTTAAGAAAAACACTCCTTCTGGCACTGATTGGGATTCAACACCACATTTCACGAGTCAGACTAAAAAACCCCTGCAATTTGACTGGATGCTACTGACATCTTATGAAAGATCCCTGCGAGTTATCATCACTACAATGTCTGCCAATGCTTTTTTTTGCTGTGTATTGCTGTATGGTATTGCACTGTAGAATTAATTCTAAATAATTTTGCATTGTTTTTCTTGCCTGGCCTAGGAGCCCTATCCATGGTTCTCCAAAAACTTATCAGCAATTAATAAATTCTTCCCCTCTATTCTCTACCCTCTGCACAAATATGTCTTTGAAACAAATTATGAATATCATGACTTTGCTAAATGCATTGAGGTCTGTTTCCTTTTGATTCGACGAATGTAATTTTGTCTGCCAGAGACACACACTAGTTATGCCCTGATATGCTAACATTATTTGTCATCTTTCCCTCTCACTTGTTAATAGAGTCCTTCACTGCAACCATGCCATCTCAACCCTCATCTCATCTACTGTAGCTCTGCTTCCATTTCAAAATCCTATGGAACCTCCTGATTTCACCCATCATCAGTTTTACAGTGGATGTGTCACTATCCAGATGACCTACACAAGTGGGCTGTAAAACTCTGCTGCCTTCTTTCTTTCTAGGTGCTGGGTTCTCAGTGCACGTTTTGGAGGGTACAATGACACGTATGTTCTTTCTGTTGTGCCCTGTCAATTTTGACCCAAGTGCTTATGTATTTTTCCACCCCACATAAATCTTTCTGCCAACAATATATTGGTGATACATGTGAGTGCAAAAAGGGATTACCATTCTTAGGAGGGTAATAACCCCTCCTGATGGTTTCATTTTATCTTGTGGAAATTTGTAGTTTTTTACTGGCATTTCCATAATATATTTCAGCAGCTTTTATACCACTATTTCCTCTTGCTGTCTCTGCATCTAATTCTTTTTTCCTTGCCCTGTGTTTATATCTAATAGAGTGCATACTGCTCCACATAGAATCTGCTGCTTTTGTTCCATGGCACTGGGGACGTGACCTTAAAATTAAGCATAGAAATAGTAGAACAAGCTAAAACTGAAGTTAGAGGAGGAGGGTTCCAGACTGTTACAGAGCAATTCATATTGAATAGCATTGGACCCATGCTGACACAGTAACAATAAAAAGGAATCATCTGTGGAAGCAAAGATGGTAAGTCACAGAGGGCATATATAAGTGCAGCCTCAGAGCTATAAAAGCCAGACTGACATTTATCACTCTGTGCATATTGGAGCTGTCATGTTGGTCCTCAGATGATCATGTTACTACCTTCAAGACATTTTTTTAGATATGAAGCAAAGATTAGAGAGGAAATGAGAGAGAGGCTTGCTAATAAGTATTGGGTGAAAGCCACATAAAGGAATTAGCATTTATATTATTTATTGTCCCTTTTTCATCAGCCGTCCCCCCCTTCTTTCTAATTTTTTCCCTCGCCTTGGATTTTTCTAACCTTGTGCTGAGAAGATCTTTGTACATTAAACCTAGTTCAGCTTCAGAACGGATTAAAATCAGTTTGACTAAATATTATGTTCAGTGAACAACAAATTGTACAGCTTCACACATTATTATTTGTGCTAAAAACTATTATGTAAATATACTGGCTTATATAAGCTTAAGAAGGATGACATAAGAATGCAAAGATAAGGCATACATACAGATCTACTGAAGAGATACTCTGTGAGCATATCCTCTAATGGAAAATTGTGCATTCTCACTCAGGGCAGAAAAGAACCATATGTCTATTTTAGTGGTTATGTCCTGAAATGATGCACTTATTCTTTTTATAATATTTTGAAATAAATACATATGGGACCGGTCAGATGTCAACAGTGGCACTGAAAGGAGTATGAATTAGTCACACTGGCACACAGGGCCCTGGAACAATGAACACTGCTCTGGAAGACCCTTGAATGCAAGCCTATTTGCCTCTTAATCCAAATGAATAATTAATGATAATTATCATGCTGCAGTTATTATCTGTGATAATAATATATCCGTAAGGTGAATAAATTCAATCTGCTACTATGCAGAAATGGAAACTCATAATATTCTTAAGAAATACAGATATAATTATCAGTATTAATGGTCAAGGAAAAAAGGAGATTTTTATATAAAGAATTACAGCAAAAGGTCTAAAGTTTAGTAAGAATGAATTTGATCGCATTATGTTTATTCTTTAGTTGTCATTTCAATGGCACCAGCTTGCAATCTTTCCACAGTTTATTTTCCTAAGACCCAATTAGCAAAAGCTGAAATGTGCATTTGTTCATTATGATTTATCCATAACTTTTCTATTAGTCCAGTGCTAGAGAAAATCAGGCTTAGGATCTTTCAAGCATCCATATGCAAACTGGTTCACTTGTGTAGTTCACTGTGCTAGCTATTTTCCCTCACTACAAAAACTTTAAAGTATTAAAGAAAAAATGTAAAAGAACCCAAATAAAATATTAAGAGGCCAAATACGTGTTTGAAACTCATACAAGACCAGCCATAACATTTATTTTTGAAAACACTATAGGTAAACTAGGCAGAAAGTAGGCAATCATATTTAATCTGATCTCTCTCACTGGGCTGGTTGTGACAAAGAAAAATGGAAGGGGGATGGGTGAATGGCAGCAAGAGGAATTAACTACCCTCCAATTCTTTTTGAAATTGTTTTCCTATCTCTTTATTTTGACTATTGAGATTATCAGTCATAAATTAAAGACTTTAAAGTCTACTTTAGTTGAATGAAATTAATGATTGAGAAAAAAGCTTTGAAATTCAAAGTTCATGCAGACCTTTAACTCACACCAGGAAGGCTTGGTTTTTCACTCTTTCTTTTCATCCTGTGATTTGAGAACTGGATTACTCAGGGGAATGGTAATGAAATGTAGAGTTTCTCACCTCTAGGTCATCGCTTTAAATCTGGTCCATGTTGGTAGGAACCAAAATTCATTATCATCTACTTATGGTTCAGTGGCCTATGTGAAATGAGTTGATGGTCTTTCAGTCTAGTTTTCAGTGAGCAAATGTCTACACAATAATAAGCATAGCACCAGAATAGGGCTGAAAGTTGTATTCTTAACATAACATTCGGGGATTATTATAAGAGTCCCTCAAAACTCCATCGACTTCTAAGACTACCTTCCAGGATAGTAGGTTTCATTCTTTCATGATTTTTTTCACTATGATTCATCCTTTTTTTTTTTTTTTCCTGAAGACTTGGGCAAAAGAAATTGCCTCTTTTTCACTCTCTTTTTCATCAGAAAACAACAGATTTCCCTCAAAGTGGATCCTGACAGGTGACAAGAATAATAACATGTAAGAGTCAGTAAAAGGATGCATTATTAATCACCCTGGGTTTCATTTAGGCCGTAAGCTCAGTGGGTGAGCTCTGTAGAAGGAAGAGAGGAGATATTATCATTATTATTTACTTGTCCACCCAGGAGTCACTAACCAGGACATCATTGTATTAAGTAATGTGCAAACACAGAAGAGAGAGCTAGTCCCTGCCCTAAAGAACATACAATTTTACCATAACCCAAGAAAAATTGTATGCTTACAGGTAGATGGACATAGAGGGCTATTGAGAGATGATTATGCTATGCCTGCCAGCTTAGTGGTTATTTTTAACAACAGCATGATATTTCTAGTAATAAAATGATAAAATTTGTTGTCAAGCTGTTTTTTGTGGGCATCACAGAAAAGAGAGAACTTCTGGAATGGGGAATTAGTAGAAGGGAAGTTGTATTTACAAATGTTAAGGCAATCATGAAGGGCAGCTTGGAGGTAAAAGCTTATTTGAAAACAGAACAAGAGGAAAACCAGTCCTGACACTGACTGTGCATCAGAGTCCAATAATAAATTGAAAATTAAAAATAGAGAAGTGTGAAGAGTGTTCACAGGTTGCTATAATATATACTGCAGCAAGCAAGGAGAGAGACAAGAGAAGAGAGAAAGGAAATATTATGAAGTCCCTGAACTGGGGGATGGTCTTTGCAACAACAATCTAAGTGTGACACAGCAGTGTTCATTAATGTTGGACAAAACAGTGTTGTAACAAGTTAGATAGAAGTGATGAAGGATTTGTTCTGTGTTCGTGTATGTGTATGAAGGGAATACCTGAGAGGATGCAGACAAATTAATCTTTAAAATGTTTTGCTGAAAGTCTTAGAGAACATAGGAACAGTCTGATAGGATCTACAATACATATGTTATTAAAAAAAGTACTTTTATAATATGCTTCAGCTTCAGGAATGTGAAAGTATGATCCACTGATCCAAGAGAGTGTTATTGGAGAGTATATGTCAGAAGATAATTAAGGGCCTTCCTTAGCTTTTTTAGAATCATAGAATCGTTAGGGTTGGAAAGCACCTTAAGATCATCTAGTTTCAGCCCCACTGCCATGGGCAGGGACACTGCACTCTATTTAACTTACAAAGAAGTCAGGTACCCACAGACAGATAGAAATCCACAAAGCAGACTTTCTTGCAGAATGAAGACCTTGCACCCACTGTAGGAGAGGAACTGGTTCGAGACCATCTTAAAAATCTGAACGTGCACAAGTCCATGGGTCCTGATGAGATCCATCCGCAGGTCCTGAAGGAGCTGGCAAATGAAGTTGCGAAGCAGCTGGCCATCATATTTGAGAAATCATGGCAGTCAGGTGAAGTTCTCTACAAGTAGAAAAAGGGAAATATAACCCCCATTTTCAAGAAGGGGAAAATGGATGACCCAGGGAATTACAGACCAGTCAGTCTCACCTTTGTGCCTGGCAAAATCTTGGAGCAGATTCTCCTGGAAGGCATGCTAAGGCACATGAAAAACAACAAGGTGCCTGGTTACAGCCAGCATGGCTTCACTAAGGGGAAATCCTGCCTGACCAATTTGGTGGTTTCTATGATGAGGCTACGGAACTGATGGACAGGGGTAGAGCAGTTGATGTCATCTACCTGGACTTGTGTAAAGCGTTTGACATCCTTGTCTCTAAACTGGAGAGACAGAAATTTGATGGATGGACCACTCAGTGGGTAAAGAACTGGCTGGATGGCTGCACACAAAGAGTTGTGGTCAATGGCTCAATGTCCGGCTGGAGACCAGTAACAAGTGGTGTCCCTCAGGGATCGGTGTTGGGACCGGTCTTGTTCAACATCTTTGTAGCTGACATGGACAGTGGGATTGAGTGCGCCCTCAGCAAGTTTGCCGATGACACCAAGCTGTGTGGTTCAGTTGATACCCTGGAGGGAAGGAATGTCATCCAGAGGGAC